TCCTTGTCATCATTCGGGGTGAGCTTTCGAAGTCTCGTGCCTTCGATGCTCCTGTCAGCTATTTCTGGATCTTGTTCAATAATGGTATCAGCGGTTGATAAAGAAGATTCGAACATGGCATTAAGCCATAATTGGAGCAACCAAAAGGGTCCAGCCAGAAGAATGTTTTTTGGAGTATGGGATTTTAAACTAGAAACTGCTGACCTTAAACTCTCATAAAGGTCGACAAGTAACAGTTCACTCAGACAGACTTTCCTATTTTCATGGAAATCCCTGGCTAGGGGAATGAACCTACTTGCTACTTGCAAGGATCTACTACAAAACACATATCGTGATAGCCACAGGGTGAGGAAAGCGATATGTTCTACATCTGAGACCTCATCCCCTTCAGTGTGATAATGGCTGATAAATTTTGAGAAGCTAGCCAGTTTGACATCAAAGTCAATAATGCTGGAATGTTCTTCGTTGTCAGGAATGTAAATTTCCCCCACTGGTGAGAGACCAGTGATGGCAACTATATCAAAGAATGTGGGTGTTATCATTCCGCCTGGAAGATGGAAAGTGTTGTAAGTACTGTCCCAGAAGTACAATGAAGCGAATAGCAATGGGTGACTATAGGTAAAGCCTGGTTTCGACAGTTTGATTAAGTTATAAATCCCTAATTTTTCCCATTGTTGAGACTTTTTGGATTCCACCTTGGTGAACCAGTTTTGGTATGCTATGTATGAAGTGGGACAGGATCGAAAGGGTTTGAAATTACTTTTGATATAATCTAAGATAAAAGGGTCTTTTGGAGGTAAGGCCGGAGTTTCAGTTGTTTTCGAATCAGATGATTCGCTCAGGTCTTCAGTTCCTGCCCTAGGGGCATCCATTTTGTTGAAAAGGGGTTTGAATTTATAGCAAACAGGGAAAATTTTCCTAGTATCTTTCAGAATTTCAAAAACTGTTAAATGACCCATTAGGGCAAACCTTTTTCCAGCAACAGTGGTAGGGATTAATATCTGAGAGGCGTACATCATTTCTTTCTCCTTGGAGATCATTTGAGGATTGAGTACAGATTGATTATGATAAATACTCACTTTGCTCTCCATGATGGTTTCCGTGTTGGTTTTCTTGTTCTTCTTCTTTGATAATTTCTTCAGTTGTGATGATGTTGATGAAGACATTGTTAAGATTGCTGGAAGTTTTGGGGTTTAGCAAAGAGGAGGGAGATTTCAGAAATTTTGGAGAAAAAGAAGAAAAGACTAAACTGATAGGTTTTATAGAGTGAGTGTAAGCACCCACTAAAAGGACTAGGAGTACGTGGAAGTTGTTAATTGGATTCAGAGGGAGGTGGCGTAAGATCCGGTGTTGATAATAAGTGTGATTAATAATAATCATTATTTTTAAACCGCACCATGCTGTGGTAACTGGTCCAAGACGGTTGAGTACTCAAAAAGGCGTCTTGATTGACGTGGGTAAAATCATGTGCAGTAAGTGTCATGATTCTTCAAAAAGGGTTATCAAAATCTTGTGAATCTATTTAAAATAAGTACTTCTCAAAGGGTTCGAAATACATATTTTAAAGGGGCATTTTGTTGGCTGAAGATTTTGATACTGTGATTCGAAATGAAATCACTATGGTTGAGCTTTGTTTGAATAAAGCAAATTTGATGATTTGGAATGGAAGAGAATGTTTGTTTTGAATGGAAATATTAGAGTTCAGGGTTTCGAATGATAAGTTGTGGAGTGTGAGTCTAAAGCCTTGTTCGAAATAATCATAAGAGTATATTTGTGAAGGTCATTTTTGGAAATAACCTATGAACAAACTCGAAACGAAAAGTTCCAAAACATTTGAAATTCAAACGTGAGCGGGATATTGGAAATTCAAATACACAAGCATAAGAGTGTTCGAAGACGCGTGGAGGCTAGAGGGAAGCAATGCTCTGCATGCTTCGAACGTGGCAGATTCTGATAGCAAGACCGTTATGGTCGAATAGTATAAATAGAAGTCTTATTGTTAGGATTTAGTGTGTCATATCTGTTGTACAAATTCAATAAACATTCAAAATACCGCATGGATAGGGAAACGAATGCTCGAAAGATGTACGTATGATAACACAAATATTTACAATTCAATGAAAACTCTTTACATTTTCCAATTTTATCTTTCACTTCCGTTTCATTTGTGTTTCAAACAATTTTATGTTTATGCCTTTACATTAAAGCCTTTGTACTCGAAGTCATTTATTCCTTTCTGTATTTAAATACTTTTCTTATGGTCGAAACCTCTAAACATTTAGAAACTTTTACATCCACTCATTTAGTCCTGCCATTTATCCAATTTCAAGTCTTTAAACTTTTCTCATGAATATTCCTAATACCATATAGAAGTTATCCTTCGAACCATTCAGTATAATAATCGAAGCGGATTGGATATCTTTGGAACAACTCTAATTCGAAATCCTAAATACAAATGTCAGTTTTACAATTAGACTTAACTAAACAACTATGTTCCATAGGATCAATCTAGTCGATCCTGTAAGTTACCAGAGAGATTGAATAACAGTAATTAAGTTTATTTGATAGTTTGGAAGAACATGATTGAAGTACTATTTTCCATTATCAGACCTAAGCCTTTTGATGTTTACTCCAAATTGATTTTTAATCATGTAGAAAAACTATGGGAAAACAGTACTGACGTCAGACTTATTTTGGAGTAAAAACACCCAAGTAACCCGGGTACAATCGTCTATAAAAGTAACAAACCACCTAACACCCGTTACATTTGGATTTGTTGAGGGACTCCAAACATTTGAATGAATAAGATAGAAGGGGGAAAGACTTCTTTTGTTGTTTAATGGAAAAGGTGAACGCTTATGTTTAGAAAACTCGCACACATCACAATGAAGACTTTCAATATCTACCTTATTGAATAAAGATGGAAACAAAACTTTAATGACTCCAAAAGAAGGATGACCTAATCGACAATGAAAAAGAAATATTTTTTTCCTTTTTAGAGAGTACTGACTCTGACATAAATGAGTGTGACAAGTGGCCTTTTGTACACTGATCTGGTTCTTTAAGATAGTAAAGGCCATTCTTTTCTCTAGCACGTCCAATCGTCTTTCCCGACTACTTATCCTGAAATATAAAACAATCATTATGAAAAGTAACACTACAAGATAAGTCATTTGTAAGTTTTTGGATGAAGAAAAAGTTCATGGATAGTTTTGAAACATGGAGGACTCTTTTTAGGATTATAGAATGATTTATTTAGATATCTCTAATGCCCGCTACAGTTACAAGAGTACCATCTGCAATAGAAATCTTTTTATTACTGGGACAAGGGGAATATGTGGAGAATTGTTTTGAAGAGGGTGTCATGTTGTATGTGACTCCTGAATCTAATATCCAAAATAAACAAGAAGGTGCTTCGGAGATAAGAAATCCAAATGAGAGTGAAAACTTATCAGAATACGCTACACTATAATTACGTGATGACTTTTCCATACTATTGATCATGAAGGAGCAACAACCAAATATTTATGTATATGATATTAAAGAAAACAAGATTCGATGAAGAAATCAACCCAGAAAATATAGGGACATCGGGTGGAACTGTGCAGAAAGCGGCTGAAACAACGGCTGGAACTGTGTATACATCGATTGAAAAATGTACAGAGCGGTACCGACGACTGCAAAAAAACTCTACGGACAACTATTGGAAAAGTATAGATAGCGTTTAATTGGAAAAACTTGACAACAAGTGTTGCCCAGTCAAGATTGAAGTGTTCTGACAACATAAAAATGCCCAGTCGAACTTCTAAAGAATGATTAGCGGAAGTAGAGTCCCCTAGATTAGGAGCTCTAGTATCATGTGAAAAATAAGAATAAGAAATTTTATGAATGTGCTTGAATGAATAAAGCAATCAGCAACCTTGATATTTATACACACTATATAATTAATTATATATTATGTTTTACAAAGAGAAATAAATAATAGTCCGACTCCTTAAATGTATGAATCTAAATATACATGATCCTAAAACTTAAATATTCATTTTAATGAAAAACATATAATTTATTTTTCTATTTTCAACATGTTCTGTAGAGCATGTAAGACATTACTAATAAAGTAACCAACTTATAACAAACTCTATCTAACTAGCTTGTAACAAATTTTAACTAACTAACTAATTACCAAATAACTAACTTTAAATGTGAACTAATTTTTGTATTCTATTATTGTTCTTACTTCCAAGACAGAACTAGTGTGTGTGAAGGACGGATAGCGTGTCGTATGAAGCGGCTACACTGTTGCAAAGGAAAAAAGCTTGCGGCCAGTGCTACCGGAAAGCATATTAAGGTGAATTATGAAATATATTTTAAAAATACCACAAAATTTTTTTTTCTGGGAATTTTCACTTACAGCCCGTTTGGTCAAAGCGAGAAACGTTTTGGTGAGGGGACAAACACAGATATTTTCCACTTGGCTTCCTTTTTTTTAATCTTGTATATCTTCAATTTCTTTGACTAAACTCCTATTAGTTTTATATTTGATATATTTAATTTAATTATTATCAGTTAACCCACCCTAACAACCCCAACTTGTCATGTTTATTGGTAAAAGATGCATGCTAGTTGACTAAGGGGCAATATACAAATCAGTCTCTTTTGTGGACCTTTCGTAGCACTTTTATAGAGACTAAAAAAACTGTTAAAAAATGCTTGTGGGACCCACCCTCATGTTTTTATTTCTCTGTCACTGTTTTATTTATGTCAAGTAAGTTCTTTTTTGTGACCGATCTAAGCACTCAGGTCAACACTAAGTGGCCATGAATATGCAACCAGACTCTTTTTCTGTTTCTGTTTCTGTTTTTGTTTCTGTTTCTGTTCTTGTTCTGTTATTATCTGTATAAACCCCTCCACTCTCTTATCTTCCCTTTCTTGGTTTATACCAAAGAGAAGCTAAAAGAAAGAAAAACCGGTGATAACTAATTGCAAATGTCATCTGAAATATGTCTACCTCTCACAAAAAGTATGATGTATTCATTAGCTTTAGGGGAGAGGACACACGGACAAACTTCACTGCGCAGCTTCATCAAGCTCTTACCAATAGGAACATCGAAGCATACATTGATTATAATCTTATAAAGGGACATGAGGTTGGACCCGCTCTTGCCAAAGCAATCCAGGACTCACATCTGTCTATTGTAGTTTTCTCAGAAAACTATGCAACCTCAAAGTGGTGCTTGGATGAACTCCTCCACATACTTCAGTGCAGAGAACTTCATGGACAGGTAGTTATACCCGTGTTCTGTGACGTAGATCCATCACATGTACGTTATCAGAAAGAGAGTTATCAGATAGCATTCTCAAAATATCATAGAGAATTCGCCAAGAACAAGAAATCCCATCTAAACAAATTGTCTCAGTGGAAAGCTGCTCTCACTTTAGCCGCCAATATATCTGGATGGGACTCTCGTAAATATAGGTAAGTATTTAATTTAGTTCCTCTAAGTTCATATACTCATTCTTATGGTCCAATCCAATCCAATCATGACAGTCTAGCCTATAATTTCTGTTCTGTTGTCTTTTCATTGATCTGATGCTATCCATATATATTACATTAGTCATAAATGATATTAATGATATAAATATTCTAATTCCTATAATTTCTATACAATTAGAGACAACCTAGCCTATATTCAGCAACTACAGCAAATGTAGTTATAACCAAATCGCTGCAATAAGTATTCCTTATTGACATTCCCCCTCAAATTGATGCTGTCGGTCAAGAAGCATCAATTTGCTGACGAGAAACTGATATTGAGGTCGAGGTACAACCTTAGTGAAGATAACTACTAGTTGAAGTTGTGATGTGACACGAGGAAGAGATATAACATGATTGTCCAATGTTTCCCGAATTGAATGACAATCCATCTCAATATGCTTTGTGCGTTCATGAAAAACTGGATTAGTAGCAATTTGAATAACACTAGTATTGTCGGCAAAAAGTGGTGTGGCTGTATGTTGAGGAAAACTGAGCACAGCCAAAAGTCCACGAAGCCAGGTAATTTTAGAACAGGCTGTAGACATAGCTCGATACTCGGATTCAGTTGAAGACTTAGAGACGCGAGACTGCTTTTTACTCTTCCAAGAAATCAACGTAGGACCAAGAAAGATGCACCAGCCAGTAACTGATCTTCGTGTGTTGGGACAACCAGCCCATTCTGCATCACTATAACCAATCAAACTAAGAGGCTGTCGAGCAGGAAAACATAGGCCATGTATAGAAGTGCCTTTCAAGTATCGTATGATGCGACGTACCGCAACTAGGTGAAGATGGCGGGGAGCGTGCATATATTGACTCACTTGCTGGACTGCAAAGGAAATATCGGAGCGAGTAATGGTCAGATAATTAAGGCTACCGACCAGCTGCCGATATAACAAAGGATCATACAATTGACCACCTTCATCACGACGATATTTCACATTAACCTCTAGAGGAGTATTCACTGGTGTGGATCCCCTAGATCTTTCATATGAAAAGAAGCTTGAAGTTGTTGCTTAATGTGCTGGATCGCAACATGATCAGAACCGGTAATAATCATATCATCAACGTAGATAAGTAGAAGAACAATACCATTCGATGTGCGATGAATGAACATGGATGAATCAGATTTACTCCGAGTAAAAGAAAAACCGAGTATAGTAGTCCAAAACTTTTCAAACCATGCCCATGGAGCTTGTCGTAATCCATATAGTGAGTGTTTAAGCTTGCACACCCCTTCAGATGAGGAAGGCAGCCCCGGAGGAAGGGTCATATAAGTATCTTCTGCCAAGTCTCCATGAAGAAATGCATTCTTCACATCCATTTGAGTAAGTGGCCATCCTTGAGAGGCAGCAATAGTCAAAATGGTTCGAATACTAGTCATTTTCGCGACAGCTGCGAAGGTCTCATCATAACTCACACCATACTCTTGTTTATTACCTAATGCAACCAATCGAGCTTTGTAACGATTAAGAGTACCATATGAGTTCAGCTTTACCGAATACACCCATTTACTCCCAATAGGCTTAACACCTGGAGGTCGAGGAACAATGTCCCTAGTGAAATTTTCTTGAAGGGCTTGTAGTTCATCGTTCATTGCCGTTACCCAACAAGCATCTTTAAGTGCCTGAGAATAACAGGTAGGAATAGATGTACCACATAGAGTAGCAGTAAGAGAAATATGCCTATATTCATACTTATCAGGTGGGCGAGACACTCGTTGTGATCGTCGCAGAGGTGCTGGTGCAGGCTTAGGTGATGAATCAGTGGCGGGAAGGGACAAAGTAGGAGTGCGTCTGACATAAACATGACATGGTTTAAATCGTTCAGCAGGAGGAGAGTCATTAGAAAAATCAACAAGAGTAACAAAATCAACAGAGGAAGGTTTAATATTTGGGAAAAAATTTGTTGATCAAAGAAACAACATTCCTAGATATGCGTAAGCGATGAAAGGTGGGATCATAACACAAGAAGCCTTTATAAGTGGTACTATAATCCAAAAATGCACACATAACGGATTGGGCACCAAGTTTATTTCGTCCAGGAGGTGGAAGATGAACAAAACATACACAACCAAATGGATGAAGATTAGTGTAATCAGGATGTGCATGAAAGAGACGAAAATAGGGAGAATCAAGCCCAAGAACCTGAGAAGGAAGACGGTTGATGAGAAAGACAGATGTGGACAAAGCTTCAACCCAAAATTGGGGAGGGACAAAGGCAGCAAGAAGTAAGGAACGCGTAACATCAAGTAAATGACGATTTTTGCGTTCTGCGATGCTATTTTGTTGAGGCGTATAAGGACATGAACGCTGAGACAGGATGCTTTTTTGTTGCAAAAATTTCTGAAAAGCATGAGAAATATATTCCCCACTCGAGTCCGTGCATAATATCTTAATGTTGGTCTGAAATTGGTTTTCAAAGTAAGCAAAAAATTTCTTAAACGTTGCAAAAACTTCAGCTTTAGAACGAAGAAAATAAACCCAAGTAAAACGGATAAAGTCATCAATAAATGTCACAAAGTATTTATATTTGACATGAGATAAAATCGGAGACACGCTCCAAACATCACTATGAATATTTTCAAAACATTTTTCAGCACGATGGGCTTGGAGAGGAAAGGAAGACTTTTGCTTTTGGCAAGTTTACACACTGAACAATTAAAAGATGAGTCAACACTGATATTTTTGTGGCCCAATAAACCTGTTTTTATTAAGTGAGACAAAACAACAGAGTTTAGATGTCCTAATTTATTATGAAAATCTGCAAACGGATGTGAGACATCAATACAAGCAAAAGAATAATTAGAGGAATGAAACTGGAGCGGAAACAATCTGCCTACTTTAGGTCCCTTCGCGATCACTTTCCCCGACACTCGATCCTGCACAAAACAGCCGTTATGAGAAAAATTAACATTATAGTTTTTATCCACCAATTGGCCAACGGAAATTAAATTAGAGGCAAGTCCTGATGACACAAATACATCGTTAAAGGAATGATTGATATCACCAACAACAGAAATAGGCAGAGTGTTACCATAATCAATTTGAATGATTTAGGTGCCCTTATAAGCATGAACATTTATTTTGTAAGTGTTTAGGGGATCCAGTCATATGATTAGAAGCCCCTGAATCCACAAACCAAACTGTTGAAGCACTAGTACACTTACCCTGAATGCCAAAGCTGATAGAGCTGAGAGAACAATTTGTTGCACCTTCTCTGGAGTCAATGCATCAGATGCATTGGCGATGATAGGAGTAGACACACCAGCAGCATGGGTAGTAGCTTAAAAGGTTTGGGTAGGACGCCGAGCAGGTCTCGTTGGGCACTCAGTAATAATGTGACCACGTTGTTTGCAGTAATTGCAGAATTTCTTACTACAGCTGCAAGCAATATGACCAAACTGTTTGCAGGAAAAACACTGGACACACTGCGTATCACGTCTGTCGGCTGTATTTTGAGCTGAATAGGCAACTGTGCGAGCATCAGTAGTACTCTGGCAGACGACATGTTGTTTTGGGTGAGTAGGCGCTGCTCTTCGCGAAAAAGTTCCCCGACATAAACTTCTAAATCAAAAACGGGATTACGGTTCAATAAAGCTGCACGAGCCACTTCAAATTCTGCACGAAGTTTCATAAGAAACTGATCACGTTTGCTGACTTCATAAATCTTTTAAATAGCTGCAAGGGATGTTTTAGGAACATCAGCATGTAAGATCTCAGAGTGTTCAACCAATAAATTTAGAAAACCAGAGTAGTAATCTTGAATGGACATAGGGCCTTGTCGATAATTTGCAATATCTAGTTCGAGTTGAAAACGTTTCGCTGCATTCTGATCGTATATAACCTTCAGGTGATCCCACATGGCTTTGGCGGTCGAGAAGGAGCGCAAATTATTAATCATTTGAGGCTCAATGGAGGCAAGGATCCAAGAAATAATTTGCGCGTCCTTTGTTTCCCATGTATCTAACGCAACCTTCTCAGTTGGAGCCTTCGAAGCCCCGTTGAGATGACCAGACATTCCTTTTCCTTTCACATACATTTCAAATTGAAATGCCCACGAAGGGTAGTTTTTCCCAGTAAATCGAACACAAAAATTTTCTCTTTCTTTTTCCGAAGCCATGAAACTAAACCAAAGGCAAGAAACAACGACGAGAAAAAAATGAGTACAGAGAAGATCAAAAGCAGAGAAGGGGACTGTAACACAGTGGGAGAACTGACTTGGGTGTTTTGCGTTTGATCGCAATTGTTGCGGATAGCAAGAGTCGCCATCGACTTTTCTTTTATCCAATGAGGAAAAGTTGAAAAGAACATGAAAGACCTTTAGAGATTATTTCTTGAGTTCGGGGGTAGGTTATGAAAAGGAAAGGTGTTAGCACCCTTTTCATCTATAGTCATCTATGAGCTCTTAGTTGCTTGCTAGATCACTTGCTTTTGTTTGAAAATATGCTTTGTGGTGTGGGTTTGAAAGTATTTTGAAAACGTCTTTGTAATGATTCTCGTTTCTATAAGAATGCGTACAAAGTGTTGGTTTTGAAAATAGTTCAAAGAGGTGTTTGTGGAATGTGTTTTTGAAAGTGATTTTGAAAAGTGTCTTTGTAATGATTCTTGTCTCTATAAGAATGCGTACAAAGAGCTTTGTCTTTTGAAAATGTTTCAATTGAAAGCGTTGGTGTGAAAAATGTTTTTGTTGTGAGAAAGCGAGCAACTATGAACGTCCTACCTACTCAAAAGGTCTAATGTTCTTTTCCTCCTCCTTTAGATGTTGAAGGGACAGGCGTGGATCGTTTGTATAATCATAGAAGGCAACCTATGAGACGTTTTAGCAATTTCGTTAGGGACTAGATCGTTTACCGAAGGCAACATCGAGGGTCATCGACGGACTACGATCTTTTATCGAGGGTCTTTGCTAAAACGCCCATATTCGAGGGATATGACTATTTTTCTGAGGCAACAAATGAGATTATCCTAGAGGTGCATATGTTCAAAGTGTGTTTGATTGCATGCATTTTGTCTTTGATTTTTTGGATTGTCTACTTGTTGGTTTTATCTTGCCATACATCCTAATTACTAACATTTGTACAAAAACAATAAAAATGTAGAAAATAAATATCCTACGTTATTACAACCATATTGAATAGCAAGAAAATGTAAAGACAAAACAAAATAAAAGAAGAGAAAATAAGCCTTTTCGATCCAGGCAGCAGCATCCTTCGATTCTGCTCTTCTGGCTTCTTTTGATTTAGGCCTAGCAGCCAGCGTGAGATGGAGCCTTCAATTCTGCCTTTCTGCTTCCTTCGATTGCAGGAATGTTAGGGTGAGTAAGTAACCTTCGACCATGCCCTTTGTCCTTCTTTCGATTGAGGTCTGAGAGTCAGTGTGGACAACCTTCATTTCTCCCCTCTTGCTCTTTCTTTTGGACTGTGAAGCAGCCAGGGGTGAAGCCTAAGACTTCGATTCACACAAAACTCCTTCTTTCGTTTGGGGTTTATACTGGTTAGGTCTACCACATATTTGGATAAGAGAAACAAACGAAAAGGGCAGAAACGAAAAGGAAACAAATATTATGTACATGCTTAAAACGAAAAGTTTAAGGTCAGAGTGACTTACCTTGCTTGAAGCTGGAACGTAGGTGTTGGACTTTGAACTGCTATCACGGGTGCTCCTGGATTCGAAAGAAACAGGTGTGGTGTTTCTTTGATTGGATTCAGAGGTCAAGAAGAGTGGGGTTGTGTTTGTTGTTTCTGGATTCGAAGGATTGAAACAAGTGTGTTGTTTTGTTTGATTCTGGGTTTGAATGTGTGTTAAGTATTTGATAGTTAGAGAGTTAGAGAGTTAGAGAGTTTGATGATTTTTTCTCCACACCCAAAAGTCTTCTGGATGTGTTGTCCAGCCCCTTAGACGTGTTATGGAGCCTCTTATTTATAGATGAAGTTGGCTGAGGTTTTGGAGAGAAAACAAAATAATTTGAACAAATTGGGTATACTGTTTTTGTAGCTTTCGAGGGGCAGTATTCGTATGACAAATTAGTGCAAATACAGGAGCAGTGTAGCAGGACTTCCGTGCAGCAGTTTTGGAGCGTTGTGGCCAGTGCAGCAGGTATGAACTTGGTAGCAAGCATCTTTGAATATTTCATATCCTTCAATTTGACTTCATAAGTCCAACCTTCGACTAGACTCCTCTTCAGACATCAATATTTGTTTTCAATCAAAGTGTCCTTTGAATGGGGCAAATATATGTCCTTCGAATGGACTATGTGCCTGTCCTTCGAATGCGCCAACTTGTGTGCCCTTTGAAAAGGGCAACCCAGATATGTCAATGCATGTCCTTCGAATGGGACACCCAGGCATGTCATAGTGTCCTTCGAATGGGCCACCAAGGTGTGTGTCATGGTGTAGAAATTGTGTTAAAGGTTTTCAAGGGTGGAATTGAAACTCATATACAGGAGGCCCCTTGCTTTGTGAGCGCTAGCATGAAGGGAAATTTTTGCCTTGTGAATTTGGCAGACATGCACGACCATTGGCTTCTGAGTCGAAGGATAGTTGCAGGAGGCTTTTGCCTTGTGCCTGCTGGCCTGAAGAAGATCCTTGCCTTATGAATTGGGAGCAAGCGTAAAGAAGGCACTTGTCTTCTGAATCCAAGGAGGTCAGTAGGAAATCACCAACTTCTGAATCGAAGGATATCAACAGGAGGCTTTTCCCCTTTGGATCGAAGGAAATCAACAGGAGGTTTTTCCTCTTTGAATCGAAGGAGGCTACAGGAGGCTCTTTGCCTTGTGCCTGCTGGCCTGGTGGGAGCCTCTTGCTTTGAAGCATACAAGAAGGAAGCTATTGCTCAATCGAAGGTTGTATGTAACTAGTCATTACTTTGTGAATCAAAGCAAGCATGGAGGTAATTATTTGTCCAATCAAAACAGGCATGCAGGCATCAAATGTCCAATCGAAGCAGACATGCAGGCCACCATTGCATTGTGAACCATATGAGGTCAATGGTGCAATCGAAGCTTGCATGTAGGAGGTCATTACTTCGTGGATCGAAGGAGGCACAAAGGATGGATCGAAGGAGGCATGAAGGAGACCATAGTCCAATCAAAGCCTTGTGAATCGAAGTAAACTTATTTTTCTCCAATTTTGTCAAAAGATTATTTTTATCTGTTTTGCCCTTTTTTGACAGTTTCCTCTTTAACTTGATGCTGGAAAATCTAATTGTACTTGTGCAAGCTTGAATTTTGAGAATCCTTGTGAGGAAATGCCTTGAGAAAAGAGAGGACAAATTTTGGGTACAACAGGGACCAAAACAAGAGTCACCCAAAATAAAACAAGAGCCCAACCCTAAAAAAAACAAAAAACAATATTGTCGCAGAGAACACTTATCAACAAAAAACAGATAAGTTTGATCGGTAACCTAGTGATACCATGTCAAAGTTTCTGTTATGTTGTCTTTTCATTGATATGATGCTATCCATATATATTACATAAGTCATAACATTAATGATATATATATATATATATATATATATATATATATATATATATATATATATATATATATATATATATATATATATATATATATATATATATATATATATATATATATATATATATATATATATATATATATATATATATATATATATATATATATATATATATATATATATATATATATATATATATATATATATATATATATATATATATATATATATATATATATATATATATATATATATATATATATATATATATATATATATATTCTAATTCCTATATTTCTATACAATTAGAGACAGCCTAGCCTATATTCAGCAATTACATCAAATGTAGTTATAACCAAATCACAGCAATAAGTATTCCTTATTGACGACCAGTTCACCAATACAAATGATCCCGTTGATGGGTTAATCATGTTCTTATAGCATTTTAGAAACTTAGCAAATTGAAATTTTCCTTCGAGTTTAATTTGTTTATTTCTTTTTTGTTATTTTTTCTTCTTCTAGGGATTATTCTCAAGTCATAGACAATGTTGTGGAGGATGTTTTACAGAAGTTGTCCCACATGTATCCTAATGAACTGAAAAACCTTGTTAAAGTTGATGGAAAGGATGAACATATTAAATTTTTACTGAAAACAACACCAAGAATCGGAATTTGGGGCATGGGTGGAATAGGAAAGACAACCATAGCGATACAGATGTTTGCCAATAACTTTGCCCATTATGATAATGTATGTTTCTTGGAAAATGTAAGCGAAGAATCAGAAAAGTTTGGACAAACGTATGTTCGTAATAAACTTCTTAGTAAGCTACTGAAGCGAGAGATTACTGCATCCGATGTTCATGGACAACATACATTCATCAAGAGGAGGCTCAGTGGTAATAAAAGTTTCATTGTACTTGATGATGTCGATAATGCTACACAACTAGATGATTTGTGTGGAGTACTTGATGACCTTGGACCTGACAGTAGACTCATTATCACAACGAGAGACAGACATATGCTTAGTGGAAGAGTTGACAAGATATATGAGGTCACACCATGGAAGCTTAAAGACTCTCTAAAGCTTTTTTGCTTAGGAGCCTTCAAGCAAAGCCATCCTAGAGAGGGTTACGAGCATATCTTGGAAAGGGCGGTTCAATATGCAGGAGGTGCTCCGTTAGCTTTAAAAGTTTTGGGTTTACATTTTAATTCCAAAAAACCAAAATTTTGGGAATCTGAGTTGAATGATTACGAGATCAAAGGAGAAGCGTTCCCCGATATTCAAAAAGTGCTAAAGCTAAGCTACAACGGATTATCATGGCGAGAGAAGGAGATGTTTCTAGACATTGCATTCTTTTTCAAAGATGAAGATAAAGACTTCGTCACAAGGATACTAAATGCCTTTGGTTTCAATGCAACTAGTGGAGTAGAAATCCTAGAAGATAAAGCTCTTATATCCATTTCAAACAGCAATAAGATACAGATTCATGGCTTACTACAAAAGATGGCCTTTGATATAGTTCGACAAGAACATAATAAAGACCCGGGAAAGCGCAGCCGACTGAGGGATGCTAAAGATATTTGTGATGTACTTGGAAGAAACAAGGTATATATGGAGTGTTAAATTTTCTAAAGAAAAAATTATAGTTGATTTGCTGTGATAATGTAGTAACTTCTTTCAATTTGTCAGGGGAGTGAGGCAGTTGAAGGAATAATATTTGATTTGTCTCAAACACTAGATTTAAATGTTCAAGCTGACACATTCAACTTGATGACTAAATTAAGATTTCTTAAATTCCACGTCCCCTCAGGTAAAAAGAAATTGGGCACCGTGCATCTTCCTAAAAATATTATGCCGTTTTTTGACAAATTGACATACCTTGAGTGGAACGGGTATCCCTTGAAGTCTCTCCCACAACCTTTTCGTGCTGAGCAGTTGATTCAGATTTGTTTGCCGAACAGCAACATCGAACATCTTTGGTTTGGGATGCAGGTATGTGTGCAGTGCACTTACACTAATTCATTTAGATTGTGGGGGTTCTTTCTTTGTTTTTTATGCAAATGAAAATGAGAGAAATAATTTAATAATGTTAGTCCTCCCATGCAGTTTTGCTTACTTCCATTGCATGGTATGAAAATAAATGGATGTTTGAAGGCCAATTTAAATAAAATTTGAAGTGTCCTTTTGAATTATTACAGGAACTTGTGAATTTAGAGGCAGTTGATCTAAGTGAGTGCAAATGGTTGATTGACCTCCCTGATTTGTCGAGGGCATTAAAATTAAAACAGTTGCGCCTTTCTGGCTGTGAAAATTTATGTGAAGTTCAGGCTTCTGCTTTTTCAAAGGACACACTTGATACTTTGCTACTTGATGGGTGCACAAAACTGCCAAGTCTTATGGGTGAGAAGCATTTAACATCTCTAGCAAATTTTAGTGTCAAAGGCTGCTCAAGTCTGAAGGAGTTTTCGCTGTCTTCAGATTCAATAAGAAGGTTGGATTTAAGCAATACAGGAGTCGAAATATTGCACCCAACAATCGGTGGTATGAACAAGCTTTATTCGTTGAATCTAGAAGGTTTAAATCTAACAAATCTACCAATTGAATTGTCTCGCTTGAGATCACTTACTGAACTTCGCGTTTCTAAGTGTAGTGTAGTAACAAAATCAAAGTTAAAAGCCCTTTTTGATGGTTTGGGCTCATTAAGATTATTACACTTGAAAGACTGTTGTAACTTGTTTGAAATCCCTGCAAACATTAGTTCCTTGTCATCATTGCATGAATTGAAACTAGATGGTAGCAGTGTGGAGGGGTTGCCCCCTAGCATCATGTACCTCTCAAAGCTAGAAGTTCAGTCTTTAGACAATTGCAGTAAGCTTCGTTGTCTGCCAGAACTTCCTTCAAGCCTCAAAGAGTTTCAAGCCGACAACTGCACCTTGTTAATGACAGTATCCACTTTGAAGACTTTTTCAATAAACATGATTGGACAGAAAAAATACATTTCGTTTCAGAATAGTATTAAGATGGAATTGGATGGACCCTCCCTTGCCCGCATTACGGAAGATGCCATGTTCACTATGAAAAGTGCTGCCTTTCACAATGTATTAGTGAGAAAGTACAGATACCAAACCCACAGCTACAATTATAACAGTGCCGGGGTTTGTCTGCCAGGGCACAGAGTTCCAAGTCAGTTCAAACACCGATCAACCAAATATTCCTCCGTAACTATCAACATTTCCAACTCGGTGGGCTTCATTTTAGCAGTTGTTGTTACTCCATCTAACATAACACAAGAGCGTGAATACTTTGTTGGAATCCTATGTCAATGCTATTTGGAAGATGGAAAGAGGGAGGTGGGATATAAGTCTAGCTGGAATCATAAACCGGTTTCAAATTTGAACATGGATCACGTTTTTGTATGGTATGATCCATACCATTCTGACAGCATACTCAGAAGGGATGAACAAAAGGTTTCTTTTAAATTCCGCATTACAACTTGTACAAGTAGCGGCAGAGAACTTGGTGGCCTTTTAAGTATCAAAGAGTGTGGGGTTTGTCCAATTTACTACTCAGAAAGTAGGAGGGTTTTAGGCACAGGGAATTTAGACAAGGGTTTAGAATTAGAGTTGTATCAGGAAATTGAGTTTGAGAGATCAGTTGAAGGCTATGATGAGGGAGAAGGCATTGACATTGAATCAAATGAAATAGATGAAGACAAGGAAGGCACTGGCAAACAGAACCAAGAGTTTGACTTGAATGAAAATGGTTACCATTCATATGACTATTTAGTTGGTATGAAACTTTTTAAATTCTTTCACAGATGTTATATGTTATCTTTCTTTCATTGTTTTTCTTTTACAATCCTTATTTAATTTTTTTGTTTTCCTTTTGTTAGATACTCAATTTTTTCTGTCAAACTCACCATTTCTTTATGACAATCCTCAAGAGAAAGTAAATTTGGAAGATGATGATAATTCCAAAGAAATGATGAAATATGAGATTCTTCATAATAGTACTTCTTTGAAGTCTGGAGAGGAAACTGAAACTTCTTCCAACAAACAAAAACAATTCGAGAAGGAGCAAGATTCTACCGAAGGAAGTTCTGATATTGAATTGTCTATCATTAAAGTAATTAAGGTAATACTTACACCTTTGACCTCTTTATCCCTACTAATTATATCACAATCATCCTCTTAATCTTTTCAAATAGTGTCACAGTAACGAATTTAAGCAAGGGAAAATGAATGCTCATTATATATATAGTCCAGGAAATAGACAAGTTTTATGCTTCTAATTTAATATGTACTTTCTCACTAATATACTTTCGTTTCCTCAAATTTAGAATTTTTGTTATGACTTTGGTGATTGTTTTTAATGTTCAGTTTAACATTTATAGTCCAGTTTTGAAGATTAGAATTAAGGATAAAATTTAGGTTCGATGTTATAGGCACGGTTCATAAAAGTGTTTGGTACAATGTTATAGGAACCATTTTTGAAGAGAATGGATTGAAATTAAAGAATTATTGATGAATTAGAATTGTATTTTGGGAGGTTTCAGATTCGTCGAAAATCTGTAAAGTCTTTTCAGTAAAATCTATAAAGTTCCATACTTACACAGAGGCCATTTCCCTACTGTGATATTGTTTCTTGATAAGTTCCTGGTTCCTGTTCTATCAAAAGGTTGGCAATATATTACAACAAAAACCACTTTAGGCAACGACGGAAAACAAAAAAACTATAGCCTAACACCTTATGTTCTATAGAAATAGATATATGTGCTCTAGAACCGGAAAGTTTCTCGTGTATAAATGGATAAATTGAGATCACCAAAACTAGTTTGACCCATTGAGTCGAAAAGAGGTGATTTGAATTGAATGCGAATCACCATAGTCCATAAATAGAGATAGAGATAGAATCATAACTTAATTGAGATCCTTGATTCAAGTTGAAAAGAGATCACAAAAGCTTATTTATATTATGTACCTGAAACATGTATTGTATTGGAAAAATCAGTTACACGGAGCTACACCAAAGATGTTGAGTGACCTCGGAGTCAAACTCCAAATTACTATGGTCTCTTTTCCATGTCAATTATAAAATAAAAAACATATATAACCTTTTATGAAAAAAAAGTTTAAATACATTTTTGATACCCTTTTAACCTTGTTATTTATTTTCCTTATCTTTCAACAGAGAGACAAATCTTCTTCTGATGATGAATCACACCCTTCTATATCTCCACCAAGATTAATTTTAACAAACAAGTTGAAGACAGATGAGGTTATTTGTTTATTATTTCCTCAATGATATGAAACAACCTTCATTCGTATTGCAAACTAGTTTATTCTTATACTTGTCGATTGTTTTTACCAGGCAAATAAGAATCTGCAACAATCACCACCATCATTAGTGAAGAATCTATATATTCCAACTGATTCTTTTACTAATTTGTTACAACTAGAAGATCCTCCCAACAAATTAAATCCAAACTCCTCAATGGCTGCTGAGAGTTCTTCAAGTAAGCCTTCTTCTTCAAAGGGTCAAGTAAGAACAATTGAAGAGGACTCTTCAAAATTAAAGAAATGCAGTACTTTGGAATGTTCTCCTGTCGATTATTCTGAATATAAGAGAGTCCTTGAAGAAGACCCTCTAGCAATCTTGGAGAAACTCTTATCGGATGAACTTGGTCTTTCTTCACAGGCTTCTCACTCTACAACACAAGCAGAAGCTACTGAAACTGGTAAAGAGTCAATTGAGATGCTGCTTGATGAATTAAGGCAATTGGCTTTTTCGAGGAACTTGTTGAAGAATTTATCCAATGATGCGACCCTTGAAGAAGAGGTGAAAGCTTTATTAGTTAAACTCAATGATAGAGCTAATGAGCTTTCTGAGAAACAAAGTTCTGGTATTACTGATTTCACAACAATCTTTAACGAGGCCACAGTCAATATTGATGAAGGAAAACGGAGCTATGTTACTCTTCAACAACTTAATGTGGACCATAAAGATTTAATATCAAAGCTTCAAGCATCTAAAATCAAGATAAGGAAGTTTGAAGAGTCCATCATTGCTGGTGAGGATAAGATTAAGGCCATGGATATTGAAATTGAAGATATTAAAGCGCAGATTTTTTTGCTCGAGGAAAAAGCGCGCAAGGTTCAACAAGAGAAGTCACAGTTAGAGGATGCCTGCTGGAAATGTAAAGAGAAGAGAAGTGAAATTTTGGAGGAAGCTAAATATGTAGCATCTAAGACCATACAAACCCGCGAGAAGATTGATTCTGTCAATAAAAAGAAGCTGGAGTTGGATTCAAAATATGATATGCTTGAAGGACATTATGCCATAATGAGACATTCGCCTCCTTTTTAGAATTTGCATTATTATGCTTCTTATTTCCAATCTATTTGAATAATTTATGAAGAATAAACTGTAAGAACAATTTCAAAAATATATCTTTGGCAATGGATGAATGACATGTTATTTCTATTAAGGAATTAGATTGAGATAAAAACAATTCAATTTTCTTGAGACATTTCATAATATCCATACAAACATTTTTTTTAGCTTTACCAAGATTTTTTTATCTTAAACTCACCATTCAAGATCTCTTTGAGCTTACTGATTTCAATCTTGCTAGATCTTGTCATTAAAATATCATCAACATAAATAAGAGGAGAGAATGACTTTCTCATTCCTCTTCAATATGTATACACAACTATCATAATTACTTTTTATAAAATCATGTTTAAGAAAATATTCATCAAACCGAGAAAACAGGTGATTTGGAATTTATTTCAACCCAAACAAAGAATTCTTCAACAAAACTTTCAGGTTTTTCGATGTAGACTGTCTCTTCAAATTCTCCATGTAAAAAAGTTGTTTTGACATTGTTATAATCGGTTTAAAAATGGGAGTCGCCACCATTAATTTTTATCCCAAGGAAGAGAATATAACGGATAATCCTGAATTGGTAGAAAATTGTTAGTAATTTGGTTGGTTAGATGTTTTCGAAATTGCGTAATATGAGGAAAATAAATATTTTTAATGCATGAGAAAAATAATTTTAATGCAATTAAAATATTTGAATGACTTAGTATTTAAAAAGAATTTTGATTAACAAATAAACAAATTTAGAATTTATTATAAATATATTAAATATTTAAATATTAATTATGCAAAATAATAGAAAATAAATAAATAAATGAATAAAAAAATAAAGTTATAAAATAAATTGATTTTTATTAAAAACGCAGGGGGAGTGCGAAATCAGTTGCTTAACAAAAGACTGGGGGTATGAATAGTAAGGCCATAAATCTAGATATTGGATTCAGGCTCAAATCGCAGGGGGTGTTGTTTTGAACGTGGTAGCAAAATTGAGAGTTGGTTTAGCAACTGAGTCTGACACAGAATGGAATTAGATAGGGCTCGTGTGAGTTGTGTGTGGGTGAGTGTTAAAAGCTACGATGAACGCGCGATTTAGGAACATTTAATGATGATCACGTGGTGGAGGTTGAGGGCGCATGATAAGTATTGACATACAAGATATGGGGAATGATTATAAAAGAAGGTTTTCGGGCTTGAGGCCCAGTTCTCTCTCTCTCTCTCTCTCTCTCTCTCTCTCTCTCTCTCTCTCTCTCTCTCTCTCTCTCTCTCTCTCTCTCTCTCTCTCTCTCTCTCTCTCTCTCTCTCTCTCTCTCTCTCTCTACACCAAAATAACAAACTTGTTGTATTTTAGAGAGAGAAGCTCTTGCTTCTCTTTAGGCGATCAAAAATCGCCCCGCCGGCCGGAAATCGCTTCCGCCGACGGCCCCATCCCTCAGCCTCTCGAGCCACCATATGAAACCCAGAATTCTGGTTGATATTCAACCATAATCTTTATCTCCAAACCCAAAACGTGGAACCCTAGGAACCATAACCCTATGTTCATACAAACCATACGAACCCTAACCTAACCCCAACCCAGAAAGGTGAAGATCGAAGAACCCTAACCCTAAACTAAACCTTAACCCCAAAACCTCTGCGGGGTAGATTGGAGATGTTCCTCTACTTGGCGAGGAGAAGGAGAATGAGGCCTCATATGTATTATGAGGGCTCTCTGAGCATCTTTGAGCGTCCTCTGTAACACCCTCTAAAACCCGCATATAATTTTCGCAAATATTAAAAATTATAACTCAGAGTACATGTAATAATCGAGGAATGCTACAATTCTCTTTTAATAAAATAATTCCTGTCATGCATAATCTTAGTGGTAACTCATACATGTTTACACAGCGGAAAATTTTAATTAATAAAATCAAACGTTATAATATTTTCCAAAATCATCAGGGATTAACACCTGGAAAGTCAACATCTTATTATAACAATTAAAAGAAAATAAACGAGTCTGACTAAAGCAGCTCGACAACCAAACGTTCCCGGAGTTACAACTATCAGAGCATGACCCGGACATACTAGAATAAAACTAAACTAGACACGATAAGCCTTCGCCAAGCACCTGAGCGAAGCTCCTCAATCTGAAATATTCAACAGTAAGGGTGAGCTTCTCAAATATACATTTGGTTATACATTCATAACAATCAATTCACGAAATCATAAGCATCACCCAATAATTAACATATTTCATAGTTTACAAAACCTTTACAAATCATATATCCATGACATATTGCTTTTCATATTTACAAATACCCATCAACATCATCAACCATATATCAATCACACGTGCATACAAACAATCAAATATAACATTGGAAAAATCATCCATTCATGTTATATTCGAGTAATGCAACACACCCATGCATGTGGTACCACTACACCGCCCCATTATATCGCGGGTCACGGATAACTCACCGTTCCATTATATCGCGGACACGGCTACCACCTCAACGTTCCATTAAATCGCGGACACGTATATTGGCCACCATGTTAATTCCACACAATGGGAATTAACAAATGCAACATGATATGTAAGTATGTAACACTCAGCATACTATGAACATCATTCAACATATCATGCACATCAACAATATCAAACATAACAGGATATGAATAGTATGTAACCACTCAGCATACTATTTAAACATCAATCATATCAAGTTACAAATAGCATGTAATCACTCAGCATACTATTCAAACATCAACCAATCACATCAATTATATCATAACTCATGCTCGAGAACATATCTAAAAGCATGGCAATAAAAATCCAACATCGAAACACTGAAATCAAAATTCAGAAAATTCAGAAATTCAACACAGTAGCATCAACACGGGTGCCCGTGTTAAACAACACGGCCGTGTTGATGAGCGCGGGTCAGATTTTTCTGAACCTGCAGTGGCTCACAACAGCCGTCCAAACGCGGAAAAATGTCGGCCAAAACGCGTATTTCAGTACCTAACGCATCGAGCTTGTACGATCCACAACAATACCACAATATCCAATTTACTAATAATCATTATAATAACCTTAACCGGGGATTAACCGTAACTTTGGGGAATTCTACCGACACTGAGGTCGTCCCTACAATTTCCAAGGTAAATTCACGATCATTAGACATACGCCCAATTCACCATTTGGGACCTAAATTCTTAATCGATTCATGAGAATTGGGAATCCTAATCCTTTTCTAACAAGGTTCAGTCCTACGGTTATCGATCCCTAGAAACATCTAACAATTGGGATTTTCCTACCATTACCCGAATCAACCGTACATAAACCCATAAACAAAGGTAAATCGAGTATAAACCCCCCTTACCTTATCAATTAGCAGCTTTGAATTCTTGAGCGAAGTTCTCCGTTCTTCGTTCCTCGTACCTTCAGAGCTCTATTTCCCCAATTCTAACTTCTGTTTATCGTGAAAACCAAAATGAGGAATAACTTGAGTTCCAACACATAACTTTACTTCTTTTTCACCCCCGCTCTTTACTAACAGCATCTAAGCCCAAAACATAAAAATCCCTATATTTCTTATTTCTTCGAATATTCCAAATAAATAATTCTTTTTATTTTATTAATTCTAATAAAATAAATTCCCAAATTTAAATAATTCAATTAATTGAAAACGGGGTGTTACAACTCTCCCCCACTAAAAGAGTTTTCGTCCTCGAAAACATACCTTAGACGAACAGCTCCGGATAAGCCTCTTTCATCTGGCTCTCCAGCTCCCAAGTGATATTTCCATCTGCTGGACCTCCCCAAGCAACCTTCACTAATGCTATCTCTTTACCTCTTAACTGTTTCACTTCCCGATCTTCTATCCTCATAGGCAATGTTTCTACTGTCAGGTTATCTCTTACCTGTACATCATCTATTTGGATTACATGAGATGGGTCTGGAATATATCTCCTCAACTGAGAAACATGAAAAACATCGTGCAAATTCGCAAGTCTCGGAGGTAAAGCAATGCGATAAGCAACTTCTCCAACTCTTTCCGTAATCTGAAACGGACCAATAAAACGCGGAGTCAACTTCTTAGACTTCAACGCCCGACCAATACCCGTCATCGGAGTAACTCTCATAAACACATGATCTCCAGCACTGAATTCTAAATTCTTTCTCCTCTTATCATGATAACTTTTCTGACGACTCTGAGAAGCTCTCATCTTCTCTTGAATCAATTTGATCTTTTCTGTAGTCTGCTGAACAATCTCTGGCCCAATTACCGAACTCTCTCCAGATTCATACCAACACAAAGGCGTCCTACACCGTCTACCATACAATGCCTCAAACGGAGCCATACCAATACTCGAATGGTAACTATTGTTATAAGTAAACTCAATCAATGGCAAATAGCTATCCCAAGCTCCACCTTTTTCTAAAACACAAGCACGCAATAAGTCTTCTAACGATTGAATCGTCCTCTCCGTCTGTCCATCAGTCTGAGGATGGTAAGCTGAACTCAATCTCAACTTAGTACCCAAAGCCTTCTGCAATCCTTCCCAAAATTTCGAAGTGAACCTCGGATCTCTATCTGACACAATACTAGAAGGAACTCCATGCAAACTCACTATTTTCTCAATATACAACTGTGCCAATCTCTCCATCGAGTAATCCATTCGCACCGGTATAAAATGAGCAGACTTAGTCAACCTATCCACAACGACCCATATCGCTTCACAATTCATAGGAGTCCTCGGCAACCCAGATACGAAATCCATAGAAATACTATCCCACTTCCATTCTGGAATAAACATCGGTTGCATAAACCCAGACGGCTTCTGATGCTCAATCTTCGATTTCTGACAGATTAAACATGCATACACAAATTCAGCTATTTCCTTTTTCATTCCCGGCCACCAAAACAATTTCTTCAAATCATGATACATTTTCGTGGCACCCGGATGAATACTCATTCCACTGCGATGTCCTTCTT